GATCAGTAGGAGTATTCTTCTTTTAAAATATACAGATGTGCAGAAATACATAACTAAAACAGCGCTAGCAGGTCAAATTTTAACCGAGAGTTAGTGCTAATCCATCTTTGCGCAACTGGCTCCAGGGTAAGAATCGTATACTACCGGTCGTATCGTGCAGACGGGTCTTGAGATTGTCATTCTGGCGTATGAAAATGACTGCTGACGCCACAATTCCTTTCTATAAGAATAATTTGTTAAATGTGACATTTTGATTACATACGCCAGGATAAGTGTAGATGGGCCTTTATATTTCACTTTGAGGATAACCGACATTTGGCTGTTCATCTATCCTCTCCATAAGACAGTTTCATATTGCCATTTGTTGGCCTTTAGTAACAGTGGAAAGACCTGAAAGAACCACAAGTTCTCTGAAGAGACTCCACAAGGCTCCATTATGCACATGCCACATATTGTTAAATAACTTTGCTGAAGCAAAGTTTATTGATCAATCTACACCACATTTATTTACAACGCTCTTCATCAGTTAAGCCATTGCTATTGGTTAGCCGACTCGCAAGCATCTATCCAATCACTATATACATCCACTGGTTCCGAGAGATCTGATTCAACATTAAAGAAACATGAACAGTACTTGGAACTTAAGACTGATAAAAAAAGGCAAAAAGATATTGGTTGTGGGGACCATAGAGTGACATGACTGCACAAATTAGGGAGCCATTTTAATTATTAAGGCCGAGGTTTGTGTTATCAGCCGAAGCCGTGTACTTTGTTTTTCAATATACCACGAAATTACGTCAAACGTGGTATATTTGTTTTCAATATTCCACTGTGATGTCATAACTCCAAATTTCAATTTGGGCAGCTAACGAGTGGATATGACGATTTCACCGACAGCTCTTAGCCAATCAAAACTCTTGAATTATTTTCAATAAATATATTTATTAAATAGACAGCTACCGGATATAAGCTATTCTGCAATCTGATTGGCTTTCTATTTGCGAACGAGAAAACAGCAAGTTATTCGCTTTTTATAGCCTTAAGGCTTAACAGCAACAAAAACACATTGAAAAACTCCCAGCAACTGTTTACATGTTAGCCAATACTATTTTTATATATTTAAACTGGTTAAAAAAATTTTGTTGAAAAAAATAATACCGAATAATACCGAAACGAAATTTTTAAGCATGATAAATCTTAGCTTTGATTTTCGAGTTGGTGGCATATGTTTATTTATGACTGTAGTTATGTATATTTTATTCTACATGTATTGTCTGTTGTTGTATCTTTAATCGGAGGAGTGCCTCGCATGGGACCTCGAGTCCCGTTCGCACTCCTACCGTTTGGTCACTATCCAATAAAGTATTTAAAACAAAACTCGAAAGAGCGAAGTCGAAGATAAAAACATGAACAAGAATCAGAATATAATTTTTTGACAAAACTGATTTAAAAGCGAAAACTCTTTATAGAATTTCTGTAAAGTCGACAAGCACTTGTTTTGTCTAAAAAAATATTAAAGTGGAAGTCAAGTCCGTTCTGCGCATCGGTTCTGCTCATAACAATGTGAGGACCTCTAATGTGAACATTGCCCAAATTTCGAATGTTTCGAATTTTTCTGAACATAAACTCTATTTCATATTCATTTAGAAGCATAGCGAACCAAAATGGTGTTAGATATTCAGACAGTACATCATATTTTAAAAAATACAGCAGTTCAAAATGTAAACAAACCGTTTGTTTACATTACGGACTTGACTTCCACTTTAAATAAAAAAAATTTCATGTTCGAAGTACTGATTTAAAAAACTAGCAGCAGTGTTTTCTCAGGTTTAGGCTATGAGGTTGTGTAAATTGCCAAACTAATTGTCAACATATTGCCATACTGAAGAGTGTGTAAATGCAGCAGTTGTCTATAAACAGTTATTCTACTCACTCTCGTCGTATATGACTGATACGCACCTCGTCGGCTATCAGCTCATATACGACTCGAGTTCGCAGAATAACTGTTTACATATTTACATGTGCTTGCATGTGCCTGCACGCTATCGCGCCGTCCAGTCCAGCGCCACGCTTGCTTACCATTTTATTCCTATCTAGATACATGGTCAGAAATTTCTCCAATGCTGGGTTAGTATAAATTGATATTAAAACAATTAAAAGGATACATGTTATTGATGTTTGAAAATCTTCAAGACAAACTCGACAGGCAATCCTTGCAGTGTTGCGAGGACGATCCCTGCAGAAAAAATAAGAATTTTTTTATTATTACCATTCTTCTTTATCAATTATTTGTATAATCAGGGGCTGAAATTGAAATTTTTTTAGTATCCCACTGGAACGCCAGGATTCAAAGTGTCGCCTCCTACATGAGAATCTGTTATCCCACTTCTCGATACTGGTTATAATACGTTTTGACATTCCTGACCCACCCATCCAACTAAGCACAGAGTATGTCTCTCATTGTTACAAATTACAATAACAACAGGAGACTCAACAGCCAACAACTAGAGTAAGATTACTAGTGACCAATGGTTACTAATTTTAAATGATTTTGTTTTAAAAGGGAGATTACTTCACTAACGTTCTTCACCGATAGCGCTTTACTGTTGGCAAAGGCAACATACATCCATTTTTAACGAGACAACTTTTATTTACACAATTACACTCATTGGAACCCAGGAAGGCATTGGAAGACAGGCCGGGCAGGGCATGAATTTGTACATTATGTAACGTTGGCTCAGTCCTATTCATAGGAATTGTTGCATATTTGCTTGAGAACACTAATAAAGGAATTGGTAGGCAGAAATTTGTTTCTTGACCTTTATTAACAAAATGGCTTTAAGAACATCAACATTCAACAATAGCTTTTATAGTGTCTGCAAAAATTGGTAAATCTCTGGCATAAAATGGAATGCACCATTTCCAGAGGATTGTTTTGTCATGGATATGAATGCTCATGAGGCATAAAATTTAACAGCCAGGGCGAAATATTGGGAGGGGGGCGAGTGCCGAAGGCACAATATTTCTAGGGGGGGTATGGGGGAATGCTCCCCTAGAAAATTTTTAAAATTTGCAGCATTCTGAGAGCACATTTTGTAAGAAATTTCAGGCTTTCAAAACATTAATTTAATGGTACATTTTGTTATAAATCATATGCCAAGCATAAAAAATGACATTTCAGAGAAAATATTCTAGATGATTAAACACATTTGTGAATGGAATTGCAAGGTGGTTTAACTTTTTCTCGACAAGTCCCATGCATGTCAACTTCTAGAAGCTGACGACTTTGTATGTTTAAATCTTCGGTTCAGTGCATGCTATGAAGACAATAAATAATACCACCACTCGATTCAGTGAAACAATATCAACTAATTCCTCATGATAGTTTGTCTTTGCCAACATTGTAGCGATTTATTGCACTTGTATTAATACCAGCGGTCATCGTATGCAGTTTAATTTAAATTAAATAAAGATTTTATTATTATCATTATTTATGGCCTTCAAAAGTCAAGCTAGATCGTAATAATATAGACTAGCCATACCTTTCCCGGAGCATAACTTCAGCCCCTTCGGACGTATCTTCTTTGTAATAGTCTTGTTCGAATCGCTATCACAAACACTATTTAGAGTGTCATTTTCAAATTTGCATCTTTATTACGGTATTTCCATACCTGGTCCGACTGTGAGCTAATCCAACTCCTCAACATTATCTCGTGGCAATTTGACTATTTACATCCGAACAGATCGAAGTTTAAATATGGCCAAAAAAAAAATATGTGGGTTTCCGGTTTCTTCTTATAAAAACTTAGGTAGGGTAGGTCGGTTTTAACTTTTTTTTTTAAACTTTTTTTTTAATTTTCCGAACAAGCGGACGCCATTTTGTTTAGTCAGTGCTTCCACATCCAAAGATAAATTTCCCTAATATTGCCTCAAATTTCAATTTTCCACAAACTTTTTCCTCTAAGTGGAAACACTTACAACCATGATCCAATAAAAAAGTTTAGGGTCGGGATTTCGACGTCCAAAAGCTAGGTAGGGTCGGGAAACCGGAAACCCACATATTTTTTTTTTGGCCTATTTCATGTTTGCCGTGCAAGTTTTGCCAGTATTATATTATTTCAACTAACAGAGGTCAAAACAAAGGTCGAAGTATTGAAGTGCCAATTTTTTGTGTCAAATACCCGTCAATTTGTGTTCGCGAATCGCGACATTTTTCTGCGAGACGAATAGTTCAGTATGAAAATAATAATGGGTCATTCCAGAAAACATCCATACCACCCCCACGGAGGGAATAGGAAGTTAACTCCCCAACCCCCTTCGGATGTCCTAATACATTTACTATTATCAGAAACAATTTTTTCTCCCCTCCCCCTCCGGACGGCAGAAATTTCCTCTGTGGGGGGGAGTATAGATCTTTCCTGGAACGACCCATTAAAACATATCCTATAAAACTTCTCATATTTTATAATAAAGATCCTACATTAATTGGTGCCAACGAAAGCAAGTACAATAGTCAATAACTTTGAATTGAAGCCTCAGCATTTTAATACCATATTTTGTAAGAGGCAGTTTTGCCATTTTGATTTTGAGCTCTTTTAGCGGTCAAAATACGACAGGGTAACGATCGACGTTATTTGAGGTGGGTGGGTGGGTACTGGTGATAACGTCAATTCGACGTTATGCATGGCAACATGAATATGGACGTGGCCCCTTTAAATAGTTAGGCAATTCGGAATTCCTAAATTCTGGACACGAAGTGAACATGTTAGCAAAATGTCCGATGTATAAATGCCTATAACTATAGACCAAGAAGGCGTAACAACAGTACTCTACTTCATAGCTAGTCCATGCAATTTATCAGACTCAACAGTCAACACACTGCCTGTATAAAAATGTTGCTTTGCACATACATCTCTTCATCTCACTGACTACCACTGCTGCTCAATAATAAATAAGTCAAACTTGGAAAGAAACAACATCAAAAATCTTCTATGTGTAAGAACCGATTTTCACAGGCACGTGCTCACAGACCATCAACCAATAAACTTATAAATAAACTGAGTCACATGGCAATGTGGCATTGGCAATGATGGCAGCATCTACTTGTGGTTCTTTGTATACTTACATTTTCACATCGCAGGACTTTTCGTGATTACAGAACGGACAATTGAACTGGCTTTCTAAAGGATCGTTTCTCTTTTTAGAAGGAGCTTTTCGTTTTGATCTTCGTCTCCCCATTTTAATATAGGCTATCTTCCAGAAATTACAAAATGGCCGCCAAACCGCGCCACGCAAACTGGTTTCCTGGGTTCTAAATAACCGAGAACAACACAGAGAACCCAAGTTTTCTTCGCTCTGGTGTACCAATTCTTGGGTTTTCATATGACGCCACAGAAGTGACGGGGTCAACTCTAAAACAAAGCACAGTTATCAGAATGAGTCAATTGTTCGTTTTATGTATTAGCCTTGGCGGCAAATACATGGAATTTCGTATCATTTTCCCACTCCAGTACAGCATGATGATGAGCATCAATACATTTGCGGTTGACCCCCGTCAGATTCACTGCATAATGCCTTAGTGAAACCCAAGAATTGCCATAGTTTTAATGAATGTATCACTAAGATATTTTAGCATTGCCGTGTACCCTTTTCCAGTGCTAAAATATATGTAAATAAAACGTTTAGTTGCCTCATGGTGTTGCAAAAGCCAAAGACCCAAATTTCTCTGCAAAAGCCAAAGACCCAAATAGCATGCCTCCGAAGATCGGGAAGTAAAAGATGTTGAATGGCACTGTACTAGGATGAAAATCAGCAAAAGGCATTCGAAGACATAAAGAAACTCATCACATGTCACTCTGACCCATCTTCCAATATGACGCATCACAACGGGGAGTTGGAGCGGCGCTTTTAAAGGACAGCCAGTGGCATTTACGTGCCACCAAAAGAGATAAACTACGCTCAGATAGAGAAGAACTGCTGGCTATTGTGCATGCATGTGATTGTTTTGATCAGTACGTATTCGGACGCGATATCACCGTCGAAACAGATTTCAAGCCACTAGAGTTGATTCTGTGCCAAAGGCTCTCTGGCAGCAGCCAAACAGCGAAATAGCGATAATAACTGCATACATACGAATAGAGGTGTGCATCGGATTGGACGTTTATAATCCGACAATTGGCTAATGTTTAAAATCCGATCCGATATTGTCTAATCCGAATCCGAGCTTTGATAAAGAATTCCGATCCGAAGAACCTTTAATAAAATAAATTTCTCATTCAAGTGGAAATATTTAACCAAATAAATATAAAAGCAAGAAATACATGTCAAGAAGCTGACAAAGTGACGTCCAATTGAAGTATCAAACGAATAATGCAGCGACAATCGCGATAATGCTTTGATAAATCATAAATGCATGAATAATTAATTCTTGCGATAATGCGAGGATAATTAATTCATTTTATTTCGAATATTAATACCGAAGTCCGATCCGACTACGAAACAACTTTATCCATCCGATCCGAAATGTATATTTTTGTTCCGAAATCCGAACGAATCCGATCGGCACACCTCTAGCTCTAGCCCCCCAGTTTTTTGGGCAGTCGGGCAATATTCGATCAACAGTCGGGCAATTTTGGTTTGCAATAAAAAAAAATGGGACAAATTTGGGAAATTTTGTGATTTTTCGAAAATTTTGTGGTATGTTCCGAAAAATATTGGTTGTCCGGAAAATTTTTTTGACCCCTAAAATGGTACACTGACCGAAATTTTTTTGGCGACGGGGGGGGGAGGTCGCCAAAAAATATTTTCCGGAAAAAATTTTTTGGTACTAGTCGGGCGGAATCCCGAAAAGTCGGGCAATTTTCTTTCCGCCCCCCTAATTTTTTCCTTCCGGTACGCCCACGGCTCTACATACGACACCACCACAGAATAGACATGAGACACCACACCAAACATCCGTCATCTCTTCACACCCAGTATCGGTATGGTCCCTTTTTGTAGATGTTTTAGTTACCTTTCTGTACCGTGCAGGATTACACATGCGTAAATAACACATGTAACCCTAGCTTCTTACGAACCAATTATACACTAATTGCACAACGTGCAGGATTACATATGCGTAAATAACACCTGTAACCCTTCTTACGAACCAATTATACACTAATTGCACAACGTGCAGGATTACACATGCGTAAATAACACATGTAACCCTTCTTACGAACCAATTATACACTAATTGCACAACGTGCAGGATTACACATGCGTAAATAACACCTGTAACCCTTCTTACGAACCAATTATACACTACTTGCACAACGTGCAGGATTACACATGCGTAAATAACACCTGAATATTATTTTTAATACCATCATTGTATTCATACATAAATTTAATTAAATATTTCCTTCTTTAAAATTTTACTGGATTTATTTTTCATATAGGGTTGAAAGGAGTTTGGACCTGAATAAATTTGTAATTAGCCTTTCTCACGGGGGTCCATATCCGCCATTTTAAGGGTACTGTCTTCCCACATCAGAGAAGCTAGACAATCTAAACTATGTGAAAAACGACTAGTTTCAAAGTTTTAACTGTCAATTTACCATTACAGAAAGTCGCATTTTGCGGTGCGTACACTCTCAGACATGACAGAGGAAGTACCAAAAAATGACGGATAAGCCCTGCAGTGTCAGAAAGGCTAATTTTTTTTAAACTCAAAAAAAGTTTTAAAATGAAACAAAAAATCTAAATAGAACATTCTGCATCTATATAGTCTGTACTAAAGCATGCACACAAGAAGAACAATATTAAAATTGTTCAATAAATTGTTCATTAAACAGAATAAATGGATTTTTACTCATATTCTGAGAATAAATTTTTACTCATACGAATAAATTTATCATACCCTAATGAATCCCTATTTTGTGAATGAATAATGTTTGATCATTGTAAATATCAACTAAAGTTAATTATTGCACAAACAATTAATCACAGTTAGTCAACTTCATCATTGCCATTTTATGAGGAACTTGTCAACAAGACTCAAGCTTAACGATCCAAGACGAAGAACCATTGAAGAGGAATCGTAGTCAAAGGGAGTTTGGTTTCCATTGACAGATACTTGGCTTGGTTTTGACATTACACCAAGGATTGTAACATTACTGACTTTAGCTGATGGAGTGTATCCACCTAGGGTAGGTGACGAGGTGAGAGTTTTTGACTGCACTGCAAATTTCACGATGAGAGTTTCCTTGGTGTTCAGGCTTTCACCATCATCAAGGTAAAGATCACCGACTGCATCACCGGATGAACTCAAGGCAACTTTGAGAGAGTAAGGATTCTTACGACTTTCTGCAGTAGTAGTTGATGGCTCCTGCATTGGAATAATGTACCCACCTCTAATATGTAAATTGATTTTATCAATGGGTGCGTCTAACGTGATGTGTCCATGGGCTGAAAGAGCCTTGCCGGTATAGAAATCATACCACAAATCGTTAGGGAAGTATGCGTTTACTTGAGTGGAGGATTGCACGAGAACGGGTGAGATCAATAGTGCAGGTCCCCAAAGGAATTGAGATTGAATAGAATACGTATATGGTTCTTTTGGGAATTCAAACACAAGTGAACGGGCGACAGTGCTTCCTTGAACATTAGCTTTATAGAACAAGGTATACAGATAAGGTAAGAGACTGTAGCGAATTAAGAATGTTTTACGTGCTATAGCTGCAACATCGTCTCCCAACGAGGCCGGATCTTGAGGAGTCGCACCTTTCGTGTTGTGATTCCTTGAAAATGGATAGAACGCCCCAAGCTGTAGCCATCGTGTACACAGCTCCTTCTGAGTGTTTCCATTAAATCCACAAATGTCCGCTCCAACCATTGGAATACCAAACAGATTAAAATCGAGTATACCTGGTATAGAATAGCCCATGTCAGGCCATTGACTATTATTATCTCCTAACCAATGTCCTCCGTATTTCCCGCTGCTTGGAAATGTTGAACGAGAGATGACCAAAGTACGTTTATTCAAAACATTACGAAGACCTTTAGCAGTGGCAATCAGTTCAGAATGTCCGTACAAACTGTGTAGATTATAGTGTATACCGTTTGCGTGTCTCGCTCCCATACATATTGTCTTGGCCGTTAAATGACCTCCCATGACGCCTGGTACATATGGCGGAGTTTCGTATGTCGATTTAGGGCAACCTGAAGTGGACCCGTCTACGAAATTTGAAGGTTCGTTCATGTCAATCCATAGACCATCAATGTTTACTTTGCCATGAAAGTTCTGTAACTGCTCTTGCCAATACTGGATAGTTTTTGGGTTGAAAAAGTCAGGAAAGACTGTATTTCCAGGCCAAACTTTTCCAACTAAGGGTTCATCGCTGTCCGGCTGCATCACAAAAGCTCCAACTTTAAGACCTTCAGTATATGGGGCATAACTGGGATCACTGTTGGGAATTCCAGGATCTGTGATGGGAATATAGTGCTGATTATGTTCGTGAAGATCGTTTACAAGATCTGGAAGTCCGGCAAATCTTTGCGAATCATAGGTAAAATCAAAATGATTATCCATATAATCAATGTCATTCCACTGTACATCTTGCGGGATCCCATATTGCCGCATTTTGTTCACAATCTTTTGAGTTTGGTTTGATGTTTCGTAACCCCAGCGACAGAGATGGAATCCTAGAGACCAATATGGTGGTAGGAATGGACGCCCGATGACTTCCGTGTATTGTTGGACAACAGAATCCGGTTCCGGACCTAGAAAAATATAAAAATCCAGGATTCCACCAATAGTACGGTACGTGAGTGCTGGAGTTGGTTGTAAGATGACCTCCATAGCATTACTGTTGAGTAAGAACACTCCATGGGCATTTCCATCAGGTTCAATATTGACATAGAATGGATGAACTCCATACAGATTGATTCCTCCATAAGGTGTTCCGCCATCACGAGCAAACATCACCAGTTTTTGCCAAGTGGTATTTAGTCGAAAACTGTCAACATGTTCACCTAGTCCGAATATATTAGTTGAGGGTAGGAAAGTAGATAGTTGTAAAAATTGATCCTCAAAAATCATTGCTCCCGCTGTGGAATTGAAGAGAACGCGGCCAGTTGACTTTCTTGTGATTGCAAAACCAAATGGATAGTGAGTGAAGCTAACGAGATAATCTTGTTCGGAACTTTTCTTTGTCACCTCTGGTGTTTCGACAGGAACTTCGTATCGCTTGTTGTTCGGATCATAGATCTAAAACACGGTAAGAGAAAGATGAAGACATGATAACATGATTAGACTTAGAGAGATCACGGATAACAACGACGACGACAACGAAACGACAACGACAACAACAACATTTACTTGTGTCCTCTAATATCTTACATAATTCAACATTACTTAAAAAACATTTTGTGATACTGGGTTTCAGCAGTAACCGCAGAGATTCTACTGTTTATGCTGAATCTGTTTTTTTGGAAGGTTTTGGAAGCAATGCAGGGATGTTGGTAGCATAGTGGTTGTCATGTACGTCGAACCTCTGCGACCGGGTTTCGATCCCTAATATAATTATGCAGTTGTTTGATACAATTGTAGTCAATTGAAGAGGAATGCGCCTTCCAGTTTGAAAATTAAAACTGAGCGAAAATAATCCGCGCGAAGGGATTTGTTGCTGTAACATGCACGAAAAATAATCCAAGTGTAAACGTTTGCCACCGTAACAAGAACTACTGAAAGTTAGCAAAATAGAAATTATACGCACAATGACTTTGGCAAATACAACGGTAACGTCAATGAAGACGTGATCATCAACAACAGAATTTGACTCACAAAGCGACTATAAATGAGTTAATCACTATTTGAGAGTTAATCACTATTTAACTACAAAATAGTGATTAAAAAGTGATTAAGAGTTTTATACAACCGTCCCCTGCTATACGTACGTTATAAAAATATTTGTTGTTACAGCTACATTATAGAGATTGTCATGCTAATTAATCTTTCTGTTATTTTTAAGGCCTAGTTTAAACGACACCAAACTTTTTATGTACCGAACCAAATAACTTCAAACAGTGAGTTTTATAGGTCATGTATGATAAGGTTTATCACATGAAAAGCACGCTGTTTGAACTAAAGCCATAATTTAGGTGTGATATTTTAGTTTGTACAGTTTCAAGGTGCCGGTGTCACCCGGTCCAAATTTACTAGTAGATATGGACCCCCCGCAGGGGTCGAAATTTAAATTTTTTGACTATACAGCCGGAATAGTAGATTTTTATATTTACTATTCCGTCTGAAGATCCACTATTCCTTAATGTAATGTTTCTGAGAGCCCGTTCATGCAGGGTCCGCGCTAATGTTCTGATTTTCACGAAATCATCCTTGAGACTCCTAAAGTGAACTGAATAATTGAATAACAAAAAATAAACATGTACGGTGCATTGCTCTGTACAGTGATGAAAAAATTATTAATAAAAAACAAAGTTCAAACACTGAAATGAACTTGCGAATTTTGTTGCGAAGTTCGCGCCCAATTTTCGAACTTGGAAACGTCCAGACACACCGGACGCGATTCGATAACGCGACGCGATTTTTCAGTTTTTGAAAGTTAATAAAACAGCCAATGAGAGCAAATTTTGAAAGATATGTAGACCAAATAACTCAAAATGTTATAGCGCTTCTAAATATTTGGAAAATTTAAACTAGGATCAAAGTTATCGGTCAGTGAAAATCGAAAAATCGCGTCGCGTTGTCGAATCGCGTCCAGTGTGTATGGACCCGTATTGTCAAGTTCGCAACGAACTTGGGAACTGCGCGTAATTGAAAAGTGACTTGAAATCGACAATATTGGTGCAAAGAAATTAGAATATGCAAGTACTGCAAGCGAACAAGAACTTAGCTACGAAGTGGAACAGTGGCTCAAAGTCCGGTATAAAGTGATATATATTATACAAGAGGAAAACTCTTGCTTGTCGATATTTGGTACCACAATTTTTTCTACTATACAAACGGAATACTGTGATCATGAAGTTTACTATTCCGTCAGGCATTGTAGTATATTCGGAATAGCGGAATAGCGTGAATTTCGACCCCTGCCCCGGTCCAAATCTCCTAGTAGATATGGACCCCCTTTAGCGGATACGAACCCCCTTTTTAAATACTTTTATATACTAAAAACAACCCCAATAACGGTGAATATGTTAATTAAATTCATTAGTTTTCAGCTACTTTCATCAACCACACATAGTCATTTATTGTGAATAGAAAACATTGTTTTTTTATTTCCAGTGAGATGCAAATTCAACTAGAAAAGTCCAAATGGAAAGTATGTATATATAAAAGATAAATAAATACCCTAAAAACTCATGCATATACGTAATATGACGTTTATATGACCATAATAGATAAAAAAATTATATCGTAGATGAGTCGCCACCACTTATTGTTTAAAAATATTCATGAAAATCGTGTTTCGTGTCGATCCAAATGCTATATGCAATTTCTATCGCTTTTGTTAAACAGTGAACCATTAGCAGATTCGTTATTGACAAAAACTATATTACATAGATTTTAGTCGCACTGTATTCTATTTTTCGATTTTACGTTTTGTGGCCTTTATCACAAATATTAAAAGTGATAAATACTTAAGGTTGATCGCATATAAACAACAAATAAAATTCCTTATTTTTGGTACTTTTTTTCTGCTTAATGCCTGTAAAATCAGAAAGTTTGAAAATAAGTTCGCAAACCAACATGATTTACATTCATCAACAATTTTTCTAAGCGATACAAGTCATAAAACATTTTTACTATTCAGGAATCTCACTGAGTGATCAAATTTACTATAAAAAACTCAATTTTTCAAAATTATTGGTAAACCTAATATACTGTGGTACATACCACCGGTATTCTGTAGTGATTTTAGTATTTACCTTCCACTAAATTAAGTTAACAATATCTGTACAGTGTTATCACACAACATGACACACCAAATCCTCGTACAATTTGATAAACCGTTCCTTACTTATTGCCGCACCGGTATTCTGTGGTACAATAGAATTTTATCCACAGAATGTCCGATTTAAAAAATAATAGAATCTGCCAAATCTAACCCCAAGATCCCACAGGAAGAAAAAAAGAATACAAAACTATACTAAAAAATCATTAACAGGCTATATGTTATATGCATTTGACAAAAGATATGGAACATGTAAATTTGTGTGGTATTCTGTGGTACATACACCTGTATAATCTCATTTCAGCACTGACAGACAGCAGCCATACAAAAAAATAATTTATTGTATAGCAGACCATTATCTTAACCCAGGTCTTAACCACGCCTGTCTTAACCTAGCTGCTGTTAAGAGGCTATTTCCTTAAGATTATTATCAGCCAAATATCTTCCAGCACCAATAGGCAATATTTATCAGCATACAAGATCGAATTACTTCTGTTCCAGACTCTCATTTCAGAAAAATGACTATACTCATACAAAAATTTCAAATTATTGTATGATTTCTGACTAATACAATTTCTCTACAAAAAGTGACTGCCATCCTGCTAATTAACTAATTAACTCATTAAACAACAATGTGCCTTATTGGCAGTCTACTTTCAATTGTTAAGAGGCATTGTCTGCAAGAACAGTCCAACGAATTCTGACTCAATTTTCGTTTGGCTTCATAATATATCAAAAACTTCCTTGATGTATCCTGATTCTTGTTTAAACAGTCATTTCTTGAAAATTGTCTTATTTTTTTGTTTACCCTCAAATATACTAGACATGTTCAGGAATCCAAAATGGCGCTCATGATTAGGACGGATATTTCCAATTTTTCTAACTTTGCACCGAAGTCGTGCGAGGGTCTACAGAACATGTATCCGTGCTTTTAAATTGAATAATGTATGTCCTTTTCACGAAAGTATTAATAAGCCAAATATCTATTTGGAACGGGCGACTAGTGGCAGTAATATTTGCCCCCATTGGAGTCCGTCATTCGTGATCGAAAACCTGATGGATTCCACAAGTCGTACCGGGTGTCCCAAAAAAAAGTACTCCTGTTTGATTTGTAATAACTTCTAAACAAGTAAAGCTATCAAACAGAAATAAATTGCATTAAATAGAGGAAGGACTAGCTTAGATTTTGATATGTTACAGTTGTATTTTACTTAAGAATTCACGGAGATATTAATGTTCAAAATCGGGAGCATATTTTGGGATGTGTCTAAAATTAGCGAAAATCGGC